ATATATATATATATATATAGAGAGAGAGAGAGAGAGAGAGAGAGAGAGAGAGTATAGGGTAAAATATGATATGACACGTGGTCATCTAAAGGAAGGACATGTGGAATCCAAGACGGGGATGCCCAAAGACCGAATGCAGCTATTCCGCTTTTCACCGGAAGGGATAACGTTCATAAAGGTGTATTAAATGCTCTACGCCCGGTAGCATTTAATAAAGAATATTCTGCAGCATTAAGAGTGACGGCCCGTTATAGGAAATTTGGCATTTATGTCAACCGTTACATCTTCATCAATGGCACTCATAATTGGCATTAAAGGAGGGCACGATCCTAGGACCTCCTTTCCTAGACACAACTATAAATAGTGAGGTCAGTTATCATTGTAGAGGATACGATTTTTCTGGCAAACTTATACTAGATTAAAACTTAATACAATCTTACTTTGTCGCTTTTCGATGTCATCATTGCTATGCCCGAAGACCTTGTTTCCGGAACTGTCATCTTTGTTGTTTCATCTACATGTTAAAGCTAAGTATTTCATAATTCTTTCATTATTTTATTATTTCAGGATCAAATTAGTTCACTTGTCTAGAAACCGCGTATAAATTCAACTGTATCGTTTTATATATATATATATATATATAAAAGCTTTTAATTTGTGGTCTTGAAATCACTTTTCTGTACACTTCCATGGATGGAGTTAGAGTTTACGGTTCCATTGACCCGAGTAATTTTAATATAAATTTTATATTTATCTTAATAAATATGTTTAACATATATAAATTATTAATTAATAACTTAAAATAGTAAGAACTTTGAATTTATAAGTTTCGAATCCTGAGCTCACCTCTAGTTACTTCAATTGATCTCTGCAAAAATTGATTTGTTTTGTCAATTTTCCGCACTTATTTTTTCCTTTTTTCTATGTGTTACTAAGCCCAGGGGCGCATTTACTGACCAATATATGAGGCACGTTTACCCATGGTCCGCATGGATATTTTATGTACATATTTTTTAGGATTGAACAAATATTATCTGCATCTTTGCTCCAAAAAGCTGAATGATGCACTTGGTTGAAGCTATATTATCTACTTAGGTATTGGGATCAATTTTTGCTTAATACATTTTTTTCTGTTTTTATTAATGGTTCACCCATATTCTAGAAATTCTAAATCTGCATGTGATGGTAACAGAAACACTCTAATTAAGAGGTTGGGTAATATTATCAGTAAACTACAATTCTAATCCAATTTAACTGTTAATTTGTACTATCCTTGTGGTTAATATATTTTACTCCTTAAAACATAAAAGATACTATGATCAGCTTCTATATCTCAAAAGAATTATATGGGAATTGACAATATTTTTTGTCGAAGTTGGAGGTGAACAATGAGGATTTTGAAAGTTATAGAGAGGTAACCTTGCCCTTCAAATAGCCAGTGAAGATAGAAAAAAAAAATGTTTAGTGCTCAAACTTAAGTTCATAGGAGTAGTATCTTTTACTAGGGGCAGAGTCATGATTTAAAATTTATGAATTCAAGAATTTAGCTTTTTAAGTTACTAAATTTTAAATAAATAATTTATACATCACAATGAATTTTCTTAGTCAAATATAAAATTTGCACTAAGCTTGTTTTATGCAGTTGAAGTAGTGCCAGCACATAGGTGAGACATGATCTTAGTCTATTTCATTGATAGAGACATGATTCAGATCTATATATATGACATCCTATTAATATAATCGGATGCTACTCGATAAAAATGAAGTACTCTTTTTCTTTGGTTGAAAAAGGGATAATATTATAAATAATTTTTATGCGTCACTACAATTTACAAAAAGAAGAAGCCATTATTAGCATTATGCTATTTCATACTCACGATTAGGGCTAGTTGGTTCTTTTTTGCTTTTTACCTAAGGAAAAATAATCTTAGCATAAAATGCATCATTTGCTAATATCAGTTAATTAGTTATCGCAGAAAATTTGTCAAAATAGCACGGTATAGCCAGTTTCGGACTGGTCATTCAAAAATAGCCAGCGTTTACTAAGTCAATGAAAAATAGCCACTATTTTGCTGCAACAGTGACCGGTCCAGCATAATATACTGGATTTCGGTGCACCTATGTATGAACTCCAGCATATTATGCTGCACCGGTATACTTTACTGGCTCCAGTATAATATAGTGGAGACTGGAGCATCGGTGCTCCAAACTCCAGTATATTATGCTGGACCGGTATACTTGCTGGAACTCTAGTATATTATGCTGGAGTTCCAGCATACTTATGCTGGAACTCCATCATATTATGCTGGAGTTCCAGCATACATGCTGGAACTCCAGCATAATATACTAGCGTATTTCCCGGGGTTTTGAACAGTGTTTTCGCTCAGATTTATCTTTACATGAAAAGTGGCAAAATTTCGATTACTTTTGAAACTGGACTAATTTTGAACGTGTGGCTATTTCTAAATTTCTCCTCTAAACGTTAAAGGAACAGTAGAGCTAGCTTTATGTAAATTATACTCCTAGTAAGTACAGACTGGTATAAATTAAGTAATAGCAGTAATTATTTGTCCGAAATAGTACTTACAAGAATTTAGCTTATATATATACACTGACAATATAATGTAAGAATAAATTATACTGTCAAGTCACTCAATATGTAATCCTTCATAAAATGTGAAATTCGTAATCTTTGAAAACAAGACAGGTTATTCGCTACAATAGATAAATATGACTTGATAGTATAAAAGCATACTTTTATTAGTACATCAAGAAATAAAATATATTTGTGATAAATTCACTACTATATATATGATTTCACTACTATAAGACGAAGATTAGACTTTTACTAGCTAGCTAGTAATTAATTGATCTCTATATCCAAATAGCATTAGCCCTTAGAAGCAAATTCTTGAGCTTGCCTCTAACATTAAGACTCATAATTTCATTAGAACCACCAACAAAATTTTTGCCAATAAAAACTGCTGGCACACTCAGTTGACAACCTAATTCAACCAATGCAGTCTCCATTTGCCTCCCATTTGGAAGTTTATCGAGCTCATAAACTGTAGGGTTTGCTCCGAAACCTCGGATTAGGGTTTCGATACTGTGAGACATGCAACAAGTGGTTTTGCTGAAAATCACTACTGGACTTTCTGCTCCCAACTTCATCACCATATCCATGCTTAGATCTCAAGATCTTTTTTTTTTTTTTTTTTTTTTTTTTTGTGAAGAAGTGTAACTGAAAATAAAGAAAGTTGTGAAGCTTAGTAGAGAGAAAATCTGTTTGTATTGAGTTTGAGGCTTTAGTTGTTATGAGAAACATGAAGTTGTAGAAAGGCTATATATAAGGGATCAAAATGAACAGAAAAAGAGATTACAGAATTTTCCAAAAGGGACAAGTCGGTGGATATGCAAATTATTCCTTGATCATTTGATTGACAAAAGCTTCACTTGTCTTTCTCTAGGATTTGCTATATAGTTGCATATAGTTTTATTCCTAAAATAAAACGAGGAGATATATCCATTGAAATATATTTTTCGGCTTATAGGACGGTATAAGGTGAAAATAAAACTTAATATATATATATATATATATATATATATATATATATATATATATATATATATATATATATATATTTTCCTCTAATGAGGATGGAT